GCTGTGCAATGACGTCGGCCAGTGCCTTCAGTACCCTTGGATGGAGCTCATCCAGGCCTGCCGACTTCAACGCATCCAGGTCCTCCAAGTGCCTCTGCACCATCTCAGGGTCTACGCATGGTAGTCTGGCGCCTTGCTGCTGCCTCTCTACAACCCCAGTGAGAGACTTGTCCTGCCCCTCACTTAGGAACACTGAGGCCAAGAACTCGTTGAGGAGTTCAGCCTTGTCCCCCCTGTCTGGCACCAATTGTTTCTGCCCATTTAGCAGGGGTCCTATTCCTCCCTGGGCCTTCCTTTTACTCCCTATATATCTAAAGAACAATTTTTTGTTATCCTTACCTTGGGATGCCATCCTCAGCTCCATGGTAGCTTTGGCCCGTCTAACTGCCTCCCTACAAGTGCGAGCAGAGGAGGTATACTTCTCTTTAGTAATCTCTACCTGTTTCCACTTTTTATGTGCTCCCCTTTTAGCCCGTAGGCTGCTCTGGATTTCTCTGGTCAGCCAAGGAAGCCTCTTAGCCCCTTTCCCCCTTTTTCCCCGCATCGGGATCATCTCCCTCTGTGCCTGAAGGATCATTTCCTTACGGCACAGCCACTCAGGCCTCCCCATGGCTCAGCTTTGCTTGTCCACCCATGGGGCTGCGGAAGCATGACACCTTTGGGACGTTTTCAACATGGAAAGGTAGGACACATGCCAGTTTCCTCCCCTGACCCAGCCCATAAGCAGCACGGCCAAAGCACTACAGAGCGGTGTGGAGGTGGATGTGGGCTGCCTACTAAAGGCGCAGGGCTCTCCTCTCCTCTGGCCATGCCACCAAGGGAGGTGGCAGGGGTGGGATAGCAGGGGTGGAGGCAGGCATGTGTCCCTCCTTTCCATTTGGAAAAAGTGGTCACCTTAGATCCACTCCAGCCTGTATGGGGCCTGGTGGGCTGTGGGAGGGGGAGCCCAGGCACCTGGGTTTCATCCCAGCCTTGGGAGGGTTTGGGGACTGTAAGGGATGGTCATGGTAGCCCAGACAAATGGCTCCCCTCCTGGGCTCTGGTAGGGAGCCAGGGTCTGTCAGAGCACAGAGGGTGTTGGGGTCTGCATGTATAGAGGTGTGTGTGCAATAAGGGAGGGAAAGAGGTGGGTGGGTGTGCGTGTGCATGCACAAGGATGGAGGAACAGATTAACTCAAAATAACTTGAGTCCTACGACTATGGGCTTATCACCCTTTTAAGACATGACTTCCTACATAAAAATCCTAAATTCTGGCTGGATTCCAAGTTTTCTACTTTCATCAGTTCATCCAGAGAGCCTCTGGAGGCTCATGTCTTGTGCTTGTTCCAAAATGCTGCTGGAGCCAGAGAGACAAAGAACTCCTCTCCCCTTAGGAATGGTTCCAGCCCAGTCACCTAGGTGACCAGGTTAAAACCAAACAGCACACAAGTGAAAGAGGAGGGGTGTGTGAACTGACCCAAGCAAGGGCAGACTGAGGGGGATTTCTTTACATGGAGGTCTGTGTGCATGTGTGCAGGTGTGTAATGAGGAAGTGTGTGTGTGCATGTGCAGTGAGGAAAAGAGAAAGTGTGTGTGCATGCAATGAGGGAGGGAGGGAGACTACAATGAGGGACAGTGTGTCTGCACACAATGAGGGATACAGGGAGAGTGTGTGTGTGTGTCTGTTTGTAGGGCGAGTCTCACACACGCACCGCATTACACACATGCACACACCTCCCTTTGCACTGCCATACATGCAGACCCCTCACACCTACAACCTGTCACACAAGCCACCCACCCTTCCCCTTCACACACACCACAACCCTCCCCAGCCACGCTCCTCCCAGTCCCCTACACACCCCATACACATCTACCCCCCACATATCCACACACCTACATGGCTCCCTCACCCCATACCCATCCACTGCCCCACAAACCCTCCCACTCCACATACCCACAGACCCCACAAACCTATACCCCCCACAACATAGAAGAGGAAGACTTCATTTTAAGCTACTGTGCCATCACCTCTGTGTACACTACACAAATGCATGGAAATCAGGACAAAAATATTTTTTGACAACAAATTAATGAATGTTGTAGATATTCACTTTTTAGAATAGGCTGCAGATACAGATGGGCCTGGACAGGCTCGAGAGCTGGGAAGTCCAGAATCAGATGAAGTTTAACACTTCTAAGTGTAAGGTACTCCCATTTGGGGCCAAACAACTCTCAACATACTTACAAGGTTGGTGGTAACAGCTTGACTTGCACCACGGCTGAAAGGGACCTAGGGGTAATGATTGACCATCACATGACTATGAGCCATCAGTGCGAGGCGGTGGTCAGCAGGGCAAACACCATACTGGCATGCATCAACCGATGCATCTCATGTAAAACTAAGGAAGCAATACTCCCGCTGTACTCAGCACTGGTGAGACCGCAGTTGGAGTACTGTGTCCAGTTCTGGGCGCTGCACTTCAATAAGGGCATGGAAAAACTTGAGAAGGTCCAGAGATGAGCTTGGAACAGATGAGCGCATCAGGAGCTCGGTGAACAACTCTTCACTAAGGCACCCCCAGGGAAGACCAGGACCAATGGATACAAACTCCTGGAAAGCCTCTTCAGGATTAATCCCAGGAAAAACTCATTCACAGTCAGTGTCCAGATTCTGGAATAAACTCCCTGCAGAGGTGGTGCAGTCACATGGAGGTCACCTACTCTGGAGGTTTACAAGAGGAGACTGGACAGTCACTTCGCTGTTGTTCGCAGTTGTCTTCCTGTCTAGAGCGGGGGGGGGCTCTCCAGCTGAAATAATTTCCCAGTCCTGTGGTAAATTGTGGGGGTTGATTAGCGTGGAATCCATTAGAGAGAATGGGATGAAGGGATGGGGGGTTGGGAGCAGCTGGCACTGCGTGGTGAAGAGTTCTGACGAGGGGCTGAGAAGCAAAACCTGCCAAACTGGGCTCATGCGGTGGCAGTATCAGCTTCTTGCAGACCCCAATATGCATGTGCAGGCTTGGGAGTGGGGTTATGTGGTGGGAAGGAAAGGCAAGGTCAGGGTGGAAGGCAGGGAACACCTCCCCAGCAATCAATGTCCTCCTTCCTGCAACTCTGGAGCCTCACATACAAGAACCCTGGGACCAGGTGGGGAGGACAGAGCTGGGAGTCAGCTCAAGACAGGCCCAAGGCGTTATTTAGAGTGAGTTGCATAAGGGAGTGAACCCTATTTTGAAGGCACTTCTACTCCCCTTGGGAACACTGCCTGCTTTTAGAGGATGATGAGGATGGCACAGCTCCACGTCTGATTTAAAGATTGTCTTCTTACAAGTTCCCCAAGCATCCAGGTTGGCCTCTGCATGAGGCGTTTCTTTTAAACCCCTCCCCTCATCAAACTTTGGGGACCAGCCTCTGTGTCCTTGGGGTTCTGCAGGACCCTAAATGGGTCAAATGATGGGTGAACTCCTGCTGCAGTCCACCAGCATGAGGCTCCTTGCCTGGATGAAGACACTGGTGGGGGCAGAGCAGGTATACATCCCCAAACCCTTCCAGCATTGCTGGAAGAATTATGGATACTCCTGGATATGGATACATTGGTACTTGGTCAGTGTGGAGGAGTGAGGGGAGCACTTCCCACACGCCGAGTATCAATGTGGTTTCTTCTCTGTGTGAATAAGCTGGTGCCGGGCCACCTGGAAGGAGAAGGTGAAGCTCTTCCCACACTCCGAGCATCGATGTGGCTTCTCCCCTGTGTGGATACGATGGTGCCGGGCCAGGTCGGAGGAGCGAGCGAAACACTTCCCACACTCTGAGCACTGATGCGGCTTCTCCCCTGTGTGGACGAGCTGGTGCTCAGACAGGTGGGAGGACTGGATGAAGCTCTTCCCACACTTCAAGCATCGATGTGGCTTCTCTCCTGTGTGGATACGCTGGTGCTTAGCCACGCTGGAGGAGTAAATGAAGCTCTTCCCACACTCCGAGCACTGATGTGGCTTCTCTCCTGTGTGGACGAGCTGGTGCTTAGCCAGGCTGGAGGACAGAGTGAAGCTCTTCCCACACTCCGAGCACTGATGTGGCTTCTCTCCTGTGTGGACGAGCTGGTGCTTAGCCAGGCTGGAGGAGACAGTGAAGCTCTTCCCACACTCTGAGCACTGATGTGGCTTCTCCCCTTTATGGATAAGCTGGTGCTGGGCCAGGTAGGAGGAGCGAGCGAAGCTCTTCCCACACTCCGCACAGTGATGTGGCTTCTCCCCAGTATGGATAAGCTGGTGCTGGGCCAGCCTGGAGGAGCGAGAGAAGCTCTTCCCACAGTCCAAGCACTGATGTGGCTTCTCTCCTGTGTGCATACGCTGGTGCTGAACCAGGGTGGAGGACTGAGTGAACCTTTTACCACACTCCAAGCACTGATAAGGCTTCTCCCCTGTGTGGATACGTTGGTGCTTAGCCAGGCTGGAGAAGAGAGTGAAGCTCTTACCACACTCCGAGCACTGGTGTGGCTTCTCCTCCATGTGCACAGGCTGGTGCTGGGCCAGCTGGGAGGATTGGGTGAAGCATTTCCCACACTCCAAGCACTGATACGGCTTTTCTCCTGTGTGGATACGCTGGTGCTGAACCAGGCTGAAGGAGTGAGCGAATCTCTTACCACACTGTGAGCACTGATATGGCTTTTCCCCTGTGTGGATATGTTGGTGCTTAGTCAGACTGGAGGAGAGTGTGAAGCTCTTACTACACTCCAAGCACTGATGTGGCTTCTCTCCCATATGAATGAGCTGGTGCTGGGCCAGGCTGGAGGACAGAGTGAAGCTCTTTCCACACTCCGAGCACTGATGTGGTTTCTTCTCTGTGTGGACAAGCTGGTGCCGGGCCAGGTTGGAGGATTGGGTGAAGCTCTTCCCACACTCTGAGCACTGATGTGCCTTGTCCCCGGTGTGGATGCGCTGGTGCTGGGCCAGGTTAGAAGAACGGGTGAAGCTCTTCCCACACATTGAGCACTGATGTGGCTTCTCCCCTGTGTGGATACGATGGGGCCGAGCCAGGTTAGAGGATCGGGTGAAGCTCTTCCCACAATCTGAGCACTGATGTGGCTTCTCTCCTGTGTGGATGAGGTGGTGTCGGGAAAGGTCACAGGCCTGAGTGAAGCTCTTCCCACACTCTGAGCACTCATGTGGCTTCTCCCTTCTGTGCATGCACTGGTGCCTGACCAGGTTGGAGAGCTTGAACCTTTTCCCACACTTGGTATCGCGGTGCTGCACACACTGGTGCTGGGACAGGTCTTGCCAGCAGATGAAGTTCTTCCTGCACTCAGTGCAGCGGTGTGTCCTTCTGCCCAGGTGGATGCGTCGGTACTGAGACAGGGAGAAAAAATGGGTGAAGGTCTTACCATACATTACATAGTAGTACTGACTTTTCCCCCCTGTGGTACACAACCAGGGTTGAGAGGCAGGTAAAGGTTTTCCTGACCTTGGAGCAGGGCTGGGCTCTGCCCCTGTGCTTGGCAGTCAGCTCCTGCTTCCCTCTGACACCCTCCCCACTGCCTTGGCTGGGATGCAGTGCCTGTTTCCAGTGGATCTACACGTATCTTTCCCTGCACCCAGGGCTCTTTCAGGGTTCTGCCCCTTCTCCATTCTCACACCCAAATGGAGATGGTACCTGGTTCACGGCTACATTTTTCATCTGCTTCTGGGGTCTCCCCTGACTCTTGGGCCATTGCTCCTCCTCAGGTCTCAGGGAGTCCATCTCACCCAAACTCCCAGGGGAAGTCCATGTTGACTCCGGATCCGCAGGCCCTTCCACAGGAGTTTCCTCCTTAGCTTCTCTGAGGAGCCAGGCACTTCCTGCATGGGGAAGAAAAACACCAGATTAGTCCTTGTGCTGCTGGCAAGGGGCAAACATTGCTATTCCTTCTGCATGGATGGGCCTGAGCAGGCCTGGACCTTGGCCCTTGCGTTCCCTCAAGAAATCAAGGTCTTCCTTCCAAAACTCAAAGTGCAGGGAGTGAGGGAAAGGCAGGTCCTTGTGGCGGGCTAATGTTCCCTACTCAGGGGAGTTCAGAGTCAGACTCTCAAGGTTTCTGTCCCAGCTGTCAGCCCCATCACCTCGGACCCTGCTGAGACAAGGACATGTGGATAGGCATGCACCAATAAAGATTTTTTGAGTTGATACCGATGGCCGATTAACAAGCCATATCATCTGATAGCAATCCAACTGCCAATATGCAGCCTGGCAGCTTGGAAAGCAGTGTCCAGCTGATAAGTCTGCTGGGAGGAAGGGGTGGTCGGGGGGGCAGATCAAGGCCCCCATGGTGAGAAAGGGAGTAGGGTTGGGGCTGGGGAGGCGCTGCCCAGCTGGGGTAGAGTGGAGCAGGGTGCAGGATGGAGTCATGGCTTGTCCCCGGGTGGTGTAGCTCCTGTGACTGCGCACACTCTGGGGGAGGCATGTGGGGCATGTGTCCCCTGGACCTGCGCTGTGGCTCTCTCTTCTAAAAGGAGCAGGGCTGCATTTCCTGCCTCCTTCCAAGGCAAGGTCTGGTGCAGGGAATGAGCCCATGAAGCTTTCCTCTGCTGACAAGTCCCAGCTGGCCTGTATGGCACAGGAGTCTGAACCGGATGGAAGGCCTTGCCATGATCCTGAACCTGGACCCTGTGCTGAGTCTGAGGCTTTGTGATGCTCAGGCCCCCACAGCAGAAACAGGAAGGGGGCAAAACATGGGGGATTTCCTTCCTCCCACAACATGAGAGCTTTGGAAGCCCTCCCGCACCACAGAGCCATTTAATGCAGCCTGAGACCATGATGAAACACTTCCTGGGTTCCAGGTCAACCTGACCAAGAGAAGCCAGGGAGAGCCCCAGCTTTTCTCTTGTCCAACAGGAATGGTTAAACAGAGCTTCTGTACATCATCTCGTTTTCCATGGGGGACTACAAATCTCATCATGTTCTGGGGGAGGGTGTTAGAAAGGTAGGGCTACCTGGGCCCGGGAATGAACTCTTACATTACTGAGTGCAGATGCACATTTAAGATCATGGTATTCCTGGGAAACCAGATCTGGGCCAATAAATTGAGAGCAAACTGGATTGTCCCCTAAGAGCTGTAATTATGGGGAGAAGAAAGGAAAAGTTGCTTGTCTCCATATCGTTAGATATTCAGGAAGTCGGGAACAACAGCTGCCTGGACACGTTACAGTATAATGTACTGTCTTTCAGGTCAGCACCCTGCAATGGCAGCACAGGGCATGTCAGCGGTTCCCAGGCTGCCCTGGCACTCTGGGCATGGAGCATTTCAGAGGGGGGAATGGGGTGGAGGGGCCAGCCACAACTCACCTGGCAGCAGCTCCTCTGACCTGGAGATTTCCCCACCATCCTCATCATCACAGACCCACAGCTCCACCAATCCTCGCTGGATGCGGCAGATTAAGTCGGGTGTGGGACCTCGATGTCCTGTTTGGGACAGTGGTTAAAGAGCATTTGTGACTGGGTACTGGATGCAGATTAACCAACCGGGATTTGGGGAATGGATCCAATGAACTCAACGTTTCACTGAGAAAGAAGCATTTATGGTGAAAGGGAAGGCACTGTAGGGAGAAATCTTGAAGAGATAATGGTTCTTGTCACGCAGGTACTGGAGGAATGGTCATAGGAAACAAAGCCCAACCACTCCCTAGTATAGAAAGGGTATCAAACTGAGTCACCAAGGATAGGCATGGAGATACAGTGATCCGTGTTGTACTAGGGAGCAGAAAGATAAAGCTTTTCCAGTTTTTAAGGTACAAAATGAAGAGACATTGGACACACTTATGGATGGATATCATTTATCTCACCATTGCAACTCCGGTTAAAGGAACGAAAATGAGCTTATTCTCAGTGAAGGTTTAAAGTGAGGACCTGTAGCAGTGAAAAGCGTCCATGACAGGTGGCTGAAAATGAAACTGTTTTCTGGGAGCCAGGATAAATCAGCATCGCCAGGGCACAGGAAAAGATGGTTTTATAGCAATGGGAGTTGCAACTCAATCCAGCATCCCATCCAATGGGAGGATCATCCAGGAATGGAGATGAGTCCACAGGTTGGCAAATGGGGCCAGGTGTACAACAAAGTTCATCAGTCATGGAAATGACAAAAAGAAGGTGAAAAGACACACTTCATAGCATGTGAAAGCCCATAATGTAGAAATGGTCTATGTGGCCTTTGTTGAGCTACAGAAGGCATTTGAGCACTCCCCTAAGGAAATCCTCTGGGGGAAGCAGTGGGGAAAGAAAGCATCAGAAAAGCAAACTGTCCTAGGAAAAGGTAAGTACCTCAAGCCTGCACACAAGCAAGAAGAAGCCCCTGTATTAGACATCCTCTGGAAATGAAAAATGGTTTTCACAAGGCCCTGCACACCCCACTTCTTCTTATCACAGTGATGGGTGTCTGATCTGCAGAAGGATTTTAGGAGGAGGAGAAGAAAACTTCTGAGAATGGCAGAGCAAGCTTGAGAGCACAGGTCTTAATGTATGTACAGCAAAGCCAGAGTCTCTGGTGTATGAAGAGGAAGATATTAGGGAGGAATGCAGACAGAAACTTCCTGTGACCCTGTGGTAGAAGTACCTGGGTTACATCACGTGTACATCTGTCACTAGAGGAAGAGTTCAGGAAATGCAGCATCCACATGTTGTAGCAGCAGAGGAGATTAACTTCCAGTAACTTGTACCGAGTCATAACCAAAGGAGGAGAGAAAGGATTTAGATAGTACTACAGGTGCTATACATTGGTCCCATATCGGATTGGCACTATCATCGGGAAAATTGAGGATCGGCAATTGGCTTTTTTTTGCCCGATGTGGCCGTTAATGTCTCTGAGAAATGGCTGGTGCACATGCACAACCGCAGCAGGCACGTGGCCAGGAGCACAGCTTGGGGGCTTGGAGAGCAGCGTTAGCTGGTAAGTCTGTTGTGGGGGAAGGGGCAGGGGGAGGGAAGGGTAATGGGGGGGGAAGAGTGAGGCCCCCTTGGTGAGGAAGGGAGCGGGGCTGGGGCAGCACTGCTCTGCTGGGTGGGGGGTGGCTGGTGGTTGGGTGTGGGATGGAGCTGTAAGCAGCTTGTCCAGAGGTGGCTCCTGCCCCTCCGATCACCCCAGGAGGCATGGGGGGCATGTGCCCCCAGGTCTGTGTGGGGCAGGGTGGGGTGCCGATGTGCTGGGGCGGCATTGGGGTCTTCCCATCAGGGAGGACTGGGCCAGGCTGCACTTAGGGCGGATGGTGGCGATGCTTAGAGCAGGGTTATGGGGGAGGGGGGGACTGTACTTGCTACAGCAAGTTTTGTTGTGGCTGCAGCCCCCCCCATAGCTGCCTTCCCAGTGCTGCTGCCGCCTGCCCTGAGCGCAGTACGGCCCTGCTCCTGCCAGGAAGACCCCGGCGCCACTTCCAATCCCACCCCGCAGTGGCAGTGTGCCCGAGCTCAAGCATATCCGGAGGCACATGCCCCCCATGCCCTCCTGGGGTGTGTGCAGTGGCAGGAGCCACCACCTCCCACACCCCCCAGACGAGCCACTTGCAGCTCTGTCCTGCACCCTACCATGCCCCGGCTGAGCAACGCCTGCCCCAGCCCCACTCCCTCCCTCACCGCATGGGCCTCGATCTGCTCCCTGCATGCCCCTTTCTTCCTCCCACCCCTTCCCTTCCATCAGACTTACCGGCCCAATGCTTGATTCCAACCTGCCTGGCTGCATATCGGAATCGGATCTGAATCGACTGATATGGCTCCTTAAAAATTGGCCATTAGTCTTGGCCCAAAAAATCTCTATTGGTGCAACCCTAGATAGTGCAGAACTGAGCATACTATGGCTGTTAAATGTGTTTGGACAGGACACATTAGTGAAGGAGAAAATTAGAAATATTCCCCAAGGAAGAGCTGTTAGTGAGTTGATGTACGACTTCACAGATTTCATAGATTTCTAGGGTCAGAAGGGACTTATTAGATCATTGAGTCTGATCCCCTGCTCTGGGCAGGAATGAGCGCTGGGGTCAAGTAATCCCAGCCAGGTGCTTTTCTAATCTCCTTTTGAACACCTCCAAGGTAGGGGAAAGCACCACCTCCCTTGGAAGCCCGTTGCATGTTTTGGCAACCCTCACCATAAAGAATTTCTTTCTGATGTCCAATCTAAATCTACTCTCCTTCAGTTTATGGCCATTGTTTCTAGTAAGTCTGAGGGGCACCCTGGTAAACAGAGTATCTCCTATTCCCTGCTGACCCCACCGATGAGTTTGCAGGCAGCCGCAAGATCACCTCTCAGCCTTCTCTTGTGGAGGCTGAAGAGACTCAGGTCCCTCAATCTGTCTTCATAGGATCTTACCTGCGGACCCTCAACCATACAAGTAGCCCTCCTCTGAACCTTTTCTAAGTTATCCACATCCCTCCTGAAGTGCAGCACCCAAAACTGGATGCAGTGCTCCAGCTGCAGCCTTACTAATGCCACATAGAGGGGCAGTATCACCTCCCTAGACCTGCTCGTGATGCACCTACTAATGCAGGAAAGAGGGCGGTTAGCCTTACTTATTACCTCGTCACATTGGTGACTCACGTTAAATTTTGCATCAACTACAACTCCGAGATCTCTTTCTGCTGCTTTGCTACATAGAATGGTACTTCCCAGTCTATAGATGTACTTGTGATTGTTTCTCCCCAGGGGCAGAACTTTGCACTTATCTTTGTTAAATTGCATCCTATTCTGATCCACGCACCTCCCCAGCCTGTCCAAATCCACCTGAATTCACTCCCTACCCTCTAGTGTGTTTACTATACTCCATAGTTTGATGTTGTCTGTGGATTTGGACAGAGTGCTTTCTACACCCTCATCCAAATCACTGATGAAGATACCGAACATTATTGGTCCAAGTACAGAGCCTTGGGGGACACCACTGCCCACATCTCTCCAGGTGGAGACTGACCCATCCACCACCACTCTCTGGGTGCATCCCATAAGCCAGTTTTCCACCCACCTGACCGTGAAAAAATTTGCATCACAATTACTTAGTTTACTTGTAAGAATTGGGTGTGACAGGAAAACAGACCTTATGATGAGAGCCTGAGAGCCATGGGACTCTTCAGCCTGGAAAAGCGCAGGCTCAGGGAGGACCTGGTGGCTGCCTATAAGTTTATCGGGGTGTTCACCAGGATGTGGGGGAACGTCTGTTCACCAGAGCACCCCAAGGGATGACAAGATCAAACGGTCACAAACTCCTTCAGGACCATTTCCGGCTGGACATAAGAAGAACTTCTTTATAGTCCGAGCCCCGAGGTCTGGAATAGACTGCTGTCGGAGGTGGTTCAAGAACCTACTTTGAACGCCTTCAAGAGAAATGTGGATGTTTATTTTGCTGGGATCCTATGACCCCAGCTGACTTCCTGTCCCTGGGGCAGGGGCTGGACTCGATGATCTTCCGAGGTCCCTTCCAGCCGTAATGTCTATGAAATCTATGAAATGTGATCCTTATGATTTTTTCTAAGGTCTGTCAGAACCAAGTAGTTGTATGCCTATAGCACAGTGGAACATTCCTTTGGTTTGATCCTTAGTGGAATCTCCCGCCATAGTGGAAGATCCCGCTGTCAATCATTCTGAATGTTATGGCACAGTGGAAAATTCCGCTGGTGGCAGTAACTAGGTCACGGTGGAAAATTCTGCTATGTCAGAACCCAGTAACTATATGCCACAGTAGTGGAAAAATTACAGCTTAGAAAAAGTTCCCGCCAACTTTATGCAAATACGCACACCACCATTGGCCGGTTCCAAATTATTCATATTTGGCGACTAGCGATTGGCTTGTTAGTCATATAAAAATTAGAGCAGTTTCCGCCCACGTTGGAGAACTCAGAGAACTCGGAGAACTCCGCACATTTCTCAGAGTTTGGAGAACTCCGCATACACCTTGGAGTTGGAGAACTCTGTGCTTTTCTCGGAGTGAACCTGGCGAACTGATCACCCACCAGTGACTCCCCGTCCTCGACCCTCCCGACGTACCCCGACCCCGGTACCGCAGTAAGCCGATTACGGGAACTTCATCCCGGTTCTCTCGCGCTTTTAAGAGAGTCTTTGTAACTCGTTTGTAATTGCAACTAAGCCAGTCAACTCTGCCTGCGCCCATACATCAGTGGCGTAAGTAAACAATCTATTTGTTACCAATACGCATCTGTGCCTAATTTTGCTCCATCGGTCAAAAGTACCCGCCTGCCGTTTTGGGCTACTGGCCACAGCCCGGCCTACCACTCAACCGCCACAAGGTCTTGCCAAGAAGAGAGGTGAGGCTAACCGGCCTATAATTACCCAGGCCCTCCTTCCTCTCCTTCTTAAAAATAGGGACCACACTGGCCCTTTTCCAGTCTTCTGGGACCTGTCCTGAGTGCCACAAGTGTTCAAAAAGTTGTACCAGCAGTTTTGTTATGACACCAGCCAATTCCTTTAGTACCCTTGGATGAAGATCACTGGGGCCTTGTGACTTAAGTACGTCCATCTCCTCCAAGTGCCCTTTCACCGTGTCAGCACTAACCGTTGGTGGACTGGTATCTCCCTCAAACTACACTAAAGTCTCACTGGGAGGTGTGTTTGCATCCGTGTCAGGGAACACAGATGCAATGAAATTGTTTAAGAGCTCAGCTTTGCCATCCTACCTGTTATGATGCCCCAGTCCATCCTGTAGTGGCCCTATGTTACCCTGAGCCTTCTTTTTGCTCCCTATGTATTTAAAGGAGGACTTTTTGTTACCCTTAATCTTTACTGACAGCCTGAGTTCTGTTTCTGCTTTGGCCTTCCTCACTGCTTCCCTGCAAGCGCGGCCAAGCACGTATACTCCTCCTTGGTGGCTGCCCCCTGGTTCCACAGCCTGTATGCCTCTCTTTTTCGCTGTAGGCTCTCCTGGATTTCCCTGCTTAGCAATGAATTGAAGATGATATGAACATCGAGAGAAGACGAAGGGAAATCATGTTGTCAAGGAACTGCTGGATATGGAAGCACCAGCACTTACAAGAATGGGGAAGACACTAGTGAAGGTGGTCAAATGAAATGAAGGAGGATCTATCAATATGGTATGTGAGAGAGGTCAGAGCAGTGGGGAGGAAATGGACTGAAACCACCCTTCAAAGGTGTGTGAGGATGAGACTGCTGAGAAACAGGAAGAAGACAATAAACTTCAGAGTTCACATAGCTCCAGGGAGAAGCAAAAACCAGCGCTTTACCCAGGGAGACGAGGGCTTGAAAATTCCTCAGCATCTGGTCCCGGTAAAGCACCTTGTCCTCATCTTCCAGCAGCTCCCACTCCTTCCGTGTGAAATACACAGCCACGTCCTGAAACACCTCCTGGAGCTGCAGTCACAAACATTACACCATCAGTGTCTCCTCTTCCAGCTGCTTCCAGCCCCCACAGCCCTGTCTGCAATCACTCAGTACTACAACTAATTGCAGGCTTCGTCATGACAGGTAGGGGTGCAATATTTCCCAGTCTTCAGCTGACATGAGATGTGGATGCAGCTGTGCACATAGGAGTCCACGTGTCAGCTTTAGCCCAGCTCATCACATTTTATTTGCTTGGTCCTTTGAGGCAGCCTGGGCAGCACTTTTAAGGCAGAGAGCCCTGGCTCCACGCGCTCTGACAAGGCCTGCCCATGCCAGCACCCCCCTGGATACCTGCACTTGGAAGGCTGCTCCTGCTAATGCAGCTTGGTGTGTTTGCAGCCTCCATCACCACAAGCTTGATGCTCTTTGGGTCTCTCTGCACCCCCAAATCTTTACACCACCCCTGGCTCTTCCTGCAATCTGCCCCAGCTGTACTCTCACCCCCAACTGAACGTAGTGCCTTGCTTACCTCCAAGCTCTCCCCCTGCTTCGGAGGTTTGCTCTGCCGCCTCTGCACTTGGCCTGGCTCAGGTGTCAGGGAGCCTCTCTCCTCCCGACATCCTTGGGAAGTCCTCTGCAGCTCCAGGTTTACAGGTCCCTCCTCAGGAGGCTGCTGTTCAGCTCTGCTCAGAGTCCCAGCACCTGTGGGGTGGGGAAAAGATGCACAGGTGAGCCCTGGTGCTGCTGGCATGGGGAAAGCCCTGCTAGTCTCCTGTACTGGCCTGGGACAAAGGCAGCCGGAGGCTTCAGTGTGTGGAAAAGCGGGGAGGTGGAAGAATCCAAGTCCCACAGGTATGGCTAACAGACCTCCACAGGCACGAAGCTGGAGATGAGCCCCGATAAGTCTATCCCAGTGCAGGGTGGTGATCACAGCACCATGACAGAGCCTGCACAAATATCACTGCCTGGGAAAGAAGCTCGAGGGATGTAGGGACTGTATCAGATCCACACATGAAAGGCAGGGGGAGGGGAAATGCAAAGGTCCTTCTTCTCCAGGGAAAACAAGGACAGGCACTATGTTGGAGCACTGACCCCGCCAAAATGTCCTGGCAGACAGGCGGATGGTGCCTCCTGCTGCTGGAAAGGGTAGAGCTACCGCTCCTTACCTGCTCCTTGGGGAGGGCCTTGTCTGGCCTTGTACCTGAACTAGCCAGAGGCCACTGGGGAGTCCCATTTCCCCATCACCCGCACCAGCCCCTTATTGGGCACAGAGGGCTCATGGGGGCATGAGAAAGGGGTGAGTAAAGGACTGATCCTTAGAACAGCAATCAGGGTGAATACAAATGAATGATTTTTTTAAAGGATTTTTTTTATTTAAATGAGACTTTATACATGTAATAGTATATTTTTAATATTTTAAAGATGCTTATTTAAAAAGAATAAACCTATATAAAAGATAGTATCAAAAGTCTTGCTAAAATCAAGGTACGCCACATCCACTGGTCTCCCCATATCCACAGAGCCAGTCACCTCATCATAGAAGGCAATAAGGTTGAGCTTTAACATATCTTAAATTAAAATGGTCTCCTACAACATTGTCGCAGGCAAGCTAAGGAAGTACAGGCTGGATGAATGGACTGTAAGGCGGATAGAAAACTGGCTGGAGCACTGGGCTCAGAGGGTAGTAATCAATCGCTCAAAGTCTACTTGGCAGCCAGTATCAAGTGGAGTGCCCCAGGGGTTGGCCCTGGGGCCATTTTTGTTCAACGTCTTCATCAACATCCTGGAAGATGGGATGCAGTGCACCCTCCGCAAGTTTGCAGATGACACCAAGCTGAGGGGAGTAGTAGATACACTGGAGGTAGGACTAGGATTCAAAGGGACCTCGACAAATTGGAGGATTGGGGCAAAAAGAAATGTCATGTGGTTCAACAAGGACAAGTGCAAAGTCCTGCACTTAGGACAGAACATCCCATGCACTGGTACAGGCTGGGGCTGACTGACAGGGCAGCGCTCTCCTGGAAAGGACCTGGGGGTGACAGGGGACAATAAGCTGGATCTGAGCCAACAGTGTGTCCTTGTTGCCAAGAAGGTTAATGGCATCCTGGGCTGCATTGGTAGGTGTGCTGCCGGTAGGTCAAGGGAAGCGATTCTTCCCCTCTATTCAGCACTGGTGAGGCCACATCTGGAGTCCTGTGTCCAGTTTTAGGCCCCCACGACAGAAAGGATTTAGACACAATGGAGAGAGTCCATCAGAGGGTAATGAAAATGGTGAGGGGGCTAAGGGACAGGACTTATGAGGAGAGACTGAGGGAACTGATCTTATTTAGTCAAGAGAAGACTGAGGGGGGATTGAATAGCAGCCTTCAACTACCTGAAAGGGGTTTGAAAGAGGATGGAGCTGGGCTGTTCTCAGTGGGGGCAGACGACAGAACAAGGAGCAATGGTCTCCAGTTGCAGCAAGGGAAGTTGAGGTTAGATATTATGAAGAGCTTTCTCATGAGGCAGGTGGTGAGGCACTGGAACAGGTTACCCAGAGAGGTGGTGGAGTCTCCATCCTTAGAAGTTTTGAAGACCTGGTTTACAAAGCCTTGCTGAGATTATGTAGTTGGGGCTGGTCCTGCTTTGAGCAGGGGTTGGACTAGATGTGACCTCCTGAGGTCCCTTCCAGCCCTCATTTTCTATGATCCAAAGACATCACAATGGGCTAGGAATTATAACATCTAATTATATACTACACAATACAACATAATCATGTAAGCTCTTTAGAAAAGTTGTATAAATAGGTCACAACAGGCAATGAACTATGTTAACGGCCCAATGTTATGGGGTTCCCAGAGGCTCCTCTATACATTTGTAAGTGTTAAAGAAACCGCTCTACCCAATGGGACTCAGTGCTCAGTCTAGAAGATCCCATTAAGCATCATGTGATGCTGAGTTTCAGTTCCCAGGCCGTGGACTTGAGTCTCCAGAGGCAACATCCTTGTTAACAGCAGTATATGGGGATCAGACAGAACAGATGTGATTACCTACCCATCAGCCCTCTTGTCTCTCTGCAAGTTTGTGTACACAGAGTCAGGTCCTTACCTCTATAAATTTTCAAGAAGTTAAATGAGTAGAGGATATCAAACAACAAGAATGCACTTTCTGTGAAAAAATAGTGATTAAATCGAGACTTCCTGACCAGTGATTAAAATCATGATTTAAATCAATTCCACCCTGACAACGATTAGATCATTGATTGTTGCCTCGACAGTAGGAAAGGGCCCAACCAAGATAAAGCCTCTTTGTGCTGGGAGCAGTTATGCAAATAGCATAAATACCAGTTTGATGTGAAGCAAACAACACAGGCATAGACTTTTGCCTGATGCTTTTCACCTTGTGTATTTTCTTGAGTTTTGCATTGGCTTAAGAGAGAGAGGCTGCAACTAGATTTAGACAGACTACAAAAGTGGGCAGACGAGAATAGGATGGGGTTCAACGTAGACAAATGCAGGGTGCTGCACCTGGGGAGAAGGACTCCACAGCGCGCACACAGGCTGGGGAGTTCTCCTCTTGAAAGCACAGAGGCAGAAAGGGATCTCGGAGTCATTATTGACTCCAAGATGAACATGAGCCGCCAATGCCAGACCGCAGCCAACAAGGCCGGCCATACTTTGTCATGCACCCAAAGGTGCATCTCAAGCCGGTCCAGAGAGGTGATCCTCCCCCTCTATGCAACTTTGGTCAGACCGCAGTTCGGGTACTGCGTCCAGTTCTGGGCGCCGCACTTCAAAAGGGATGTGGCCAGCCTAGAGAGGGTCCAGAGGAGACCACCCGCATGGTCAGGGGACAGCAGGGCAGGCCCTACGAGGAGAGGCTGAGGGACCTGAACCCGTACAGCCTCAGCAAGAGGAGGCTTGGGGGGGACCTGGTGGTGTAGCAGAAAGCCCCCTTTTCCTCTTGCCTGCATTTGCTCTCCCCTCTTTGGATATGTTTCTCTTTTTCTACCTTTTCTTCCTTCCTCTCTCTTTCACTTTAAGATAAGGAATTGTGTTTTAAAATTTGTGTGCGCGCATTTTGTATCTCCCCTTGTATTTTGGTATTTTTATCTATTTGTGTGCCATGGCATTTGTAGCTTATATTTTATACTCCTCACATTTCAACTGAATGTGTTTAGTTTCATAAGTAAGTTATACATTGTAACAATGTTAACAAGGGTAGGAATCAAACCATCCTTCCCCGTATCAGGCTGGCCCCTGAAAGAGCGAGTGAATCAGTGATTGAATGTGTAACCTGACTGAATGTGTAACACTGTAGCAGCAGACAGCAATTATCACCTGGAAGCTGCAGATCAACCGGAAGAACTCAATAGAAGACAATGTAACAACCGGGAAATCTCTAAACGTCACTGATCAAGGGCTAGAAGCCCTGCCCTCAGTTAACCAACGCCGGGGACCAACTTTTGGGCTGAATATCTCCAGATCGGCCGCTCCCACAGCCCTATTCAAAATTCATCAACCGACTCCCAAACCTGCATGTACATGCGGACGACCCCTGGGGCTGACAGATGCCGTCCAGTAGCCACCGAGGGGGGAAGTCCCACGAGGGTCAACGACCCCTGGATTGGGCAAACCTGAGAACTGGGGAGTCACCAAAGTCTGCCAGGGACAGATAAAAGGCAGTGAAAAGTGACCCTCAGTGGCGCCCTCTTGATCTCCAACTTGACCAGACCTGTCCAGCCAGAAGGACCAGCTGGCGAACCCCTTCTGGAGGATAACACCACGCTGAAAGAAGCCTCAACGACAGACTCCAGCACTTGTAGGATAGGTATACCTGACTCTGTAGCCTGCTACTGTGTGTGTGTGTGGGGGGGACCAGCCCCATGGTTTATGATTACAGTGTTTCAATCCGCCTAATAAACTAGAATTTTAAGGATCCCAAGTTGGACATTTGTAGCCAACAGTGGCTGCCTACAAGCTCATCGGGGGGATCAACAGCAAATAGGCAGAGCTCTTTTCTCCCCAGCACCACCTGGGGTGACGAGGAACAGTGGTCATAAGCTGATGGAGAATAGGTTTAGCTTAGAGATCAGAAGGCAATATTTTACAGTTAGGGTGGCCAAAATCTGGAACCAACTTCCCAGGGAGGTGGTCCTTGCCCCTACCTTGGGCAAATTCAAGAGGAGGTTGGATGAGCACCTGTCTGGGGTCTTGTGTCCTGACCCTAGCGACTATGAAACTATGAAGAAACTCAATTGTGTTTTGCTCCGTAGCTTGACATATAAGTGCTCTAACTTTGTATGCTGTATGTGTGAGAGAATGGGTATGTGCGTGTTTGTGGAAAAGGAAAACATCAGCTGGAGACTGGGTGAAGAATGCAGACAGATAAGAGACCAAAACAAGAATCTGCCCCAGAACAGCAAGAGGACAACGGCAATCGACCTTCAAGGAAGAACACAGCGATAACCCAGCAAAAGCCCAGAGGACTGGGTGAATTGACAAGGGTATAAAAGATGAGGTGAGACGTATCGATTTTGGCTCTTGCTCTGCATGTCATCCTGGGGCATTGGTTCATCTGACGAGATGGACCGCCAGGAGCCTGGCCATGGCCAGCCCACAATTTTTTGGGCCCCCCTGCAAGAAATATTTTGGGGCCTCCTTCCCTGAAGAAGCCATTGGCAAGGGAGGGAGGGAAGGAGGAAGGGGGGTGGCAAGAAGGAGTAGAAGTAGATGTTATTTAGTCTTTTGTGGATGGTTACAAGAGCAGTCATGTGTGTTTTCTGTGAAGTCTGTAAGGTAAAGGTTACAGGTGCAGTTTATGGCAAGGAAAAGTGTTGTCCAGGCAATGCAGCTTCAGAGAGATCAGAGACAGTTGAGAGGCACGTTACAGATACTTTGGGATCCTGGGTGCCCCAGAGAACAGAGGCAGCAGCGGGCACAAAAGGAGACAGGGTCTGCTACTGGACATCTGCTCAGGCAGTGGCAGAGAATTTATGATTGGAAGTAATCCTGGCTTCTCTAGGAACCGTGAAGAGCCTAGAAGAGATTGCTGTAGGAGAGTAACATCTTGTTTTGGGAAACATCAGGGTACAGCTGTGTAAACAGGAGGTCAGTGCCCAGAGTTACTCTGGGCAGAGGAAGAGTGAGCTTAGACATGTTTTGTTTTTTCTTTAGGGATGCATGGTTTGGGGGGTTCCTTTTGGAGGTAGGAAGAGCTTTTCTGAGGGGATTGTCTG